TATATATATACACACACACAATATTAAATATGGCTGAAAATATGGAGGGAGGACAGCCCTGTTCTCATTAGTCTGACGTTTGGGTCCTTAATTTAGCAACCCTTCAGGTCAGTGAACAAATTTACTCCAAACACTGCACAAATGTTATATCTGTAAAAGAAGGGAAACACAATCTAAATGCTTGTTGGTTCTCATCAAACAGTGAGATTGTCAGGAACTGTGTCGGAGGGAACGAACGTGGAGACGTGGATCAAAGCAACAGTCTTTAATAAATCCAAACACAGGGGATATCCACAACAAGGAATGGCTGGTGACACACAAACATGACAATTTAGACACGACAAAGACAGAACGCACAGACAGGGACTTAAAAACATGGGGTAGAGGACTATTAACAGGACACACCTGAATCACATGAACACAATCAACTAGAGACAGAAACTGGGTCACTGAGAGAACATGGGGAAGCAAACATGCACACAGACAGTCCAGTGGTGTGACAGAGATTTTATGACTAGGGTTGGGGCTTTAAAAAACATTCTTATTTAGTAAACTCCACAAGGGTGAGTATCATGTGCCCTTAAAAAAGTACTTAGCTTCAGGTTGAGAGCGATTGGCATTGTAGTAAGTGTCCAGTAAATCACTTTGTAAATGCAACAGTTAAAAGCCAGATATTTATTTTGTAGTCCAATAATTTTCCCACACTGAATCCATTTGACCTCTCCCTAACCCTAAGACACTAAATAAATAATTTTTACAAATACAATATTAACTGTGACTTTGGGGAAAATGTCACATTAAATGACACAAAAGCCCAAAGGCCACAAAATGTGTGAACAAAAATTTTGATTTTAATTTGTAACAATTCATTTAATATATTTTTATTCTAGGCTTATATATAGCTATATGCATATAGCATTAAATATGGGCTTAGAGACTGCAGACTTTACAGAGTGTCAAATTTGTTGACACTCTATTTTGAAATCTCTGTAACATGTCTCTGAGGTGTTTTATGTTGCTTAAAAAGAGCAGTTACAGATTCTGATATTGGCTTCACCAACATTAGTCTACTAATGCTTCCATGTCCAGTATTAGATGGCATCAAAAACATCACCACATGAATGATTGCAGTCACACGCACAATACTAAACACTGTGGTAGCTTCATAGATTGGCACAAATCAAGAACGTGCACACATTGTTCCCAAATGGTGCTTAAGCACTTGACTTTTGGCATCTCACTAGCCTAAATAAATAAACAAATAAATAAATAAACGGCATATATATATATATATATATATATATATATATGTGTGTGTGTG